AACATTTAAATGTAAAAATATGAAGCCAGAGAAGTCTTAGAAGAAAACATCTGTTAATATTGTTATAAAATTGAAGTGAAGAAAGCATGATATGAAAACCAAGAAGCCATAAAAGAAAAGGCTGAGAAACTGAAGATCAAGGCCTACCAGACCAAGACATTAAGTCTTTACCCTCACCATGTATGACAGAAAAAGACAGATATCCTTAATCTAAAGGGTCTCTTAAATAATGGCAAAAGTAAAACACTGGCTGATAAACCTAAAAAGATCTTCAAGTTTATTAATAATCAATGAATTATAAATAAAAGCATAGCAGTATTTCATTTTTCACCGGTAAGATTTCATCAGAATTATAGAGATGTGAGAAACATACTCTCATGCCTTTTTTATAGGAATAAAGCTTGATATAATCGTCCTTGAGAATATTTTGGCAATATATAGTATACAAATCTAAAATATGTTTGCTCTTTGTCTATTATCTTGCTCTTTGGAATTTGTCCTAAGATCATCTTCAAAGTGTTCAAAGGTATATGTACAAGAGTATGCATCAAAAAATGAGAAGAAATTAGAAAACACTTAAATGTCCATCAATATTATTTAACAAATGCTATAGTTAAGTTATATAAATTATAATTATAGAACTTATAAACTATATAAATTATAGCACATATAAACAGTATAGTATATTATAAACAGTGTAATACGGGAATAGGATTTCTGATATGAAGACTTATGTTATCCTTTTTGCTCTGAGGAATTTGGGTTCCACATGGAGATGGAATAAAGTAGAGTTCTTGTAGAGAAATGTGGCCAGACAGAGCCAGCAAGTCCAATTCGGAGCCGCTGAGCGATCTGGGACATGTTTAGAGGTCAGATCAGCATGTCTGGGACTAATGGAGGCAGACTGGCTGTCGGTATTAGTCCAGCCATTGTGCTTTTGAACAGTAGTCAACTCAGTAGTTTCCCATTATTAGAAGTATTCAAGGCGAGGCCAAAGGGATCATTCAGATCTCGACTTTTGTAATGAAGCATGAGCACCTCCATTTTGAATAGTATTCCACTGCCATTTCCCTTTTCCTGAAACCTGACCCACATGTGCCTCCTGAAAATTCCTCACTGAATGCTTATCACCAGTAGATGAACGCTGCCATCCATCTCTGTCTTCCTAACTCAGTATTTATCACCAGCAGATGCAGCCAATTATAACTGTCCTTCCTGATAACTTGCTTTTTTGGCTTTTGTAAACCACTTTCACATAACTCAAGGCCTGTACTTTCTTAGATGTGTAGGTTTTTTTCCCTTTGTGGTTATTGCCTTTATAAACCTTCCTCCCCCTACTTCAAAGCTGTGGGGTTTGGGAGTGACTTGAGTCCTCCTGCAGCCACTAACTTCATAAAGGCTCCTTTAATCGGGCTCTCCCTGATTTGAATATAACAGTATCATCTCATCAAGATGCCATTCTTGACCATATTGTCAATAGCACACACACCTTTCCTTTTTATCTTGCTTTATTTTTTCTTTATTCAAAAGAGCCAGCAATTTCATAATTACTTATCTGGTGCCTCTTTTACCTTCAGGGCCAACTGACATATAATTATTTGTTGACTTATTTCTCCCTTAGAATGTAAACACCATGTGAGTGAAGTCTTCAGCTGTGTTGTTCTTTTTATCATCAGTGTCTAGAACTGGGCTTAGTATATCATAGATGTTCCATACATATTTGTTGACTAAATGAATTAGAGAAGGCGATCCGTGCATTTAACTAGGTGACTTGTGCTTTGCATTGTATGGGCCTTTTAATTTTTTTTTTTTTTGAGAGATTTTTGCTATAGGGTGCGTGCGCTCGCCAGACAGGCAGAGAGAGACATAGAGACAGAAAACGAGAAATCACCCCCCAGGGGGGATGGTCACGCCGCAATCCCTTCTCCTCCATTCTCCTCTCGGGATCTTGGGCACGCACACACACGCGCCCGGCATGAGTTTTAAGCCACCGGGTCCAGGACGCGAACTGCGGTCAACTACGTGGGAGTCCAGCGACATAACCATTATGCTAACTGCTGGTTCCCTGGACCTTTTAATTTTTTAAAGATACTTTTATGTAATAGCTATGGCCCTTCAGGGCAGGGATTTATTTTCTCACAATAAATGTAACTGTTGTGTAGTGTTCATTAGAATGTATAAAACACTTTATTTTTTTAATTTTGCTATAGGGCATATGTGCTTGTTAGAGAGAGAGGGAGAGAGAAAGTGAGAAAGCACCCTGGGGGGGAAGGTGGCTTCACTGTAGTCCTTCCCCCTCCACTCTCCTCAGGATTTTGTGCTCAGCGTGTTTTTCAGTCCACCAGGTCAGGACTTGAACTACACAGTTGGCCACACAGGATCCAGCCATCTTAGCTACCATGCCACCTGGCCAGCCCTATAAAACACTTTCATAAGCATTTTTCAGTGATACAAAGGAAGTGTCAGGATTTTTCTCCTCTTTAAAGTCTCAACTCAAATGTTTCCTTTGTAGGACATCTGTCCGTAACTTCACCGTCACGTACCCTCATTTTATTCGTCACGTACTTATCACTTATTACCTGTTCATTTCATTGTTTATGTGTTCTTTGTGTCTCTCACCCCCAAATGTCAATTCCGTGAGGGTAGGGACCCCCGGCACACTGCTTGGCACATAGGGGATACTTAGTAAGCATCTGTTGAGTAAATAGTTGAAAACATGCAAGTTATAATGCTGGAATCTTTGACTGATAAGGTTTGAATAATTAAAAATGTTCAAATGATATATGCTTAAATTATAAAACATAATGCCTATGTTAGTTAATATTAATCTTCATAACAATCCCTGGCCCTGAGTTCCTGTTTTGCATTTTCAAGGCAACCTATACTACCTCATTAACTTAAATTGATCATAATTGTAACTGATTATTTGTTGCTGTTTATTTACTGTATCTGCTTATCTCAAACTGAAAGCACCGTGAACTTATAGCCACATCTGTCTTGCTCTACTGATGTTTAACACAGTTCTTTACACATGGAAAGAGTTTACATATTTCTTGAATGAAGAATGTGTGTACAGTCTTGTTAGGTAGATATTATCTTTCTCTTTCAGATAAATAAACTGAGGCTTAGAAGGATTAAGTAATGTACCCAGAACAGGTAACAATAGAAACAGGACTTAACCAGTATCTCCTGACTCCCAGTAGCAATTCTTTGACTATACCAGAAGTTCCTGGACAGATGTTAGTCATTATTACCTAGGGAAACTTCAAAAATACATATTCTCTGGCTCCACTAACGCCTACTGAGCGAGAACTTCTGAAAATAGAGCCCAGAACTCTGTTCACAGAAATAAGAAAAACTGTGATGATTTATCCAGAGGGTGAGGCCAAGTCCAGCCTGCTGCTCCTTTTCGTAAAGGAAAGTCAGTGGAGCACAGTGCTCATCCCTCCACGCGCTGTCGTGGCTGATTTCATGCGACAGTGTGACAGACCATGCGACCTACAGAGCATAGGCTTTCACTCGCTTGGCCTTTACCAGACTTTGCCAGCTCTTAGTCTACACTTTGTCTTTGTATGCCTGTGTGTCATGTTTCTTTTGTGGTCTTATTAGTGCTTAGGTTCAGTAAGCGTGTGATGTCTGGCTTCATCGAGGGCTGCATGGTAGGTGTTCAGACATACTTAACTCGGTCATGAAAATTATCCTATTTTGTAGTTTACCTGATAATAAGGGATTAAGCCTTAGCCTAAGCCATCTAATTTAACCTATACTAACCATACTAATTTAGGTATGGTTCAAGCCAGTTGACCCTCACAGTGGGTGGACTGCCTCTTCTTTTTTTTTTTTCTTTTTTTTTTTGGTAAAGGTTTTTGCCCTAGGGTACATGTGCTCACCAGAAAGCAAGACAGAGACAGTGAGAGGGAAGGTGAGAAATCATCCCCAGGGGAAATGGCCATGCCACAATCTCCTCCCAGCCTCCTGGGCACACACGCATAGGCGCCCGGCATGAGTCTCTAGCCACCAGGTCCAGGACTCAAACTGCGGTCAGCCATGTGGGAGTCCAACGACCTCATCACCACGCCATCTGTGGGCTCTGCTTTTAACAGAGTTTCTTTTCCATTCACTTGGTCACAGGGCATTTACTACGCAGAAGGTTTGAGGTTTCTGGCCTGTGTCTCTGTGGCACATGTGATTGGTTACCACAGAGAGAACTGTAATTAACGTACTAGCTATTGTGGTGCCCCGGGTGCTGCCAGTATTTTTTAAACCAGTGTCTCTTGGGAATTTTTGGTCAAAATTCAAACTACAGTAATTCAAGCAATTACCCAGGACTGACCAAGCCTCCAGGCCTGGGCTGCCTGATACAGGAGCTATTAGCCACATGCTGGAAGTTATATTTAAATTAATTAGAATTAAATACAATTTAAATTTTAGTTTATGCTAGCCGCATATCAAGTGCTCAGTAGGTGCCTGTGGCTAGTGGGTACCTTTGCAGGCAGCACGGGCACAGAACGTTTCTGTCAATACAGAGAGCTTTTTTTGGGCACTGTTACTCTACCCGTTAAGAGTTTAAGAGTCTCAGTCCAGTGAAATCTGTGACTCATTGTTCAATTTTATCTTTGTAAGGATGGCTGGAATAATAATTAGTAATGTATTTTTTTTCTAACAGCAAACAATGAAATATATTCAGTTCCTACCTTAGGATGCCCATAGCTAAGAGCAAATTCTTTATTAAATTCAGATAACTTCTTAAAATTTTAACTTCAGGAAAGAGCCATCTCATTTATGGATTAACTATCTAGTCATGATGCTAGATCATTGGCTAGTTTATGAAATGGTTCAAAACAGACTGATTTTTGGCCAAATATATTTTATTTATTTAAGGTTGGTGGGAAAGGGGCCAGTTTAAAACAGAAACTATAAAATCAATAGAGTGTGAAGTCTTGGCATCATCTTTGGAGTGATTTAGATTTCATCATTCAGTGACTCATTTTTATTCCCAGCATCTAGTGTTTTTTGCATGGCCCAAAGGGGCTCTGTGCTGCTCCACTACAGAGGAAGCTTCAAGAAATGCTGGTTTGCTACAGTGTTTTAGCTTGTGAGAGTCTCTGGGACCTTCCCTGCTCCATCATGGGGTCACCTCTAGGTGGGTATTAGGGGAGATTGGTAATTTGTTTAACCTTTAAAGAATTTGATCATCTTTTTTGTTCCAGTAAGATCTGTGTTTAACAGCCTGTCCCTAAAATCTTGTCCTTGGCCCCAGCGTAGTGTCACCTTAAAGACTGTTACCGTAGCACAGTAGTCTTCAGACTTTGACAGAGTCTAAGGCCCCTTTAAGAGGCTAGATGGTTACACAGACTCCCCTGCTTTTTCTGACTATCACCAGAAGTGTTCCCAGGTCTTCCTTTCTCTAAACCACCAGATCTTTGCCAAAGCAATGCAGCTGTGGCCAGGATCAGAGTGAGAGGGGGTGTGTTAGAGAGAGCCGGTTGTTAGAGTGAGAATTGATGTATAATTTCACTCACCTGGCTTCCCCTCTTCGCAGATCCTCTCACTTCATTTCTCTAGAAAGCCTTCCGTTTGTTCTTCCTAAGCTGAGACAGTGGGACCCAACCATACTGGGCATTAAAAGCTGTCACTTGATGGCAGTAAGAGACACCTCCAAGAGTTAGGTTTCTCAAGAATTCCTCACCGACTTCTGCCTCTTCTGGTCTGTTCTCCATGAGCTTCCCGGGCACTTCTTTGAGACAATGGTATGTCTTACTCTGGCATTTTGGATCTCTTTAGGGACTAACAAGAAAAGAAGCACCTCGGGTCATCTTTAGACCATGATTTTAAAACATTAAAAGGCCCACTCAGATCACCTAGATTCTTGTCCCTAATACTCCTTTAGCATAAATAGGAAAAAAATAAATGATAAGTGTTATGGTCAACACCAGTCTGTAAACGGCTCAATGTCTAGAGTAGCTTACATCCCAAAAGCATTTTTTAGGGAGTTGACTGTGATAGAGATTTCTATTTCCTTTACAGGTCATTTTACCTGGGACAAATACCTAAAAGAAACATGTTCAGTCCCAGCGCCTGTCCATTGCTTCAAGCAGGTAATTGATCCTCAACATCTTTAGTAGGTGGGAGACAAGTGTTGTTTTCTTGTTTTTAGACCATCAAAATACTAGGTAAAGCCCTTGGACTTCTCACCTGAGGGCCTCAGAATAAACTTCTATGGGAAGAACACAGATCAAGAAGTAAAATTTGGTCACTCTAAGTTTTGGCAGCCTTCTCCCCAACTTCATCCCAAGTAACACCCTTTCCTCCTCCTTCACCTCCTTGAGGATATTCTGTGTTACTGAAAACAATCGCTAATTTTTACTGTAGCTCTTACTCAAGACAGATAGGAAAGAGACAGCCTTCAGACAGTTCTCAAAAGTGGAATAGTACTTCTTTTTTTGTACTGAACACCCCTGCCATAATCTTATCTTTCTATAAGAATATTGACTCTGAGTCCCACCGGCGAGCGTTTTAGTTGCTCATCAGAGATCATCCGGAGCTTTCCCCATAGGATGAAATGCTCCAGAACGCACAGCTGCTGTGAACTGTGTAAGTGTGTAAGGCCGGTAGTCGAGTGTACCGGTACTAAACAGAGCTGTGCATCAGGACGTTGTTTACGTCTGTCTTTAGTGTTCAAGGATTATTTTCTCTGTCAACATTTCACTTTATCTCTTATCTAAGGAAAAATACAAATTCAGGACTTCTAGTCATTTGAAAAGTAGGAATTGAATTCCTACTTCTATCTGAAACAGTTTTAAAAAGACAAACTAGATTAATCAATGGTTTTCAAGTCACTAAAGATCAGCAAGTCATCTCTGAGAGGCAGGAAACAAATGAGTTGAGCCCCCTACCATTTCCCAGCTCACTGCCTGAGAGAATTTGGATGGCCCAGAGAAGGGGAACTCAGTTTGAGCGCAGCAGATTCCCTAATTTGGGGAAATGGAATTCGAGTCCGTGGAAACCAAAGCAGGAACTATTTACAGGACAAAGTACCAGATAAGAGAGGGCTGCACAGAGAAAACTCCCCAAGATCTGAAGAAGGTCCCCTTCACGTATTCAGGGATGTACACCATTCAGTGATGGATGTGAGGAAGCTACGTAAGGCTGAAAGAAAACCACCTGAAGGAATTAGAAGAAATGGAGTCTGGCACTCACAGGACTGGGAATAGTTTATGATCTACTAGTTAGACCGGAAAGTCTCCTTAATTCAGTGGACATTGGGTAGAATACTCAGCAATAGGAAATAGTGTTAGCCTTAGCACTGCTTTAGACTGGCCTAACAAATTATAAAAGTAAGACTCAATTCTACAAAGCTGTTTCCAAGTAACTTTAACTGCATCTTTGAACAAAGCACAAGATTTATAGGAAGGTACTCAGAGGTAAAATTCAGTGTCTGGCATCAAAGATTAACAGGCATAAA